TATCCAAATTATCATCCAAAGCCCCTCTTGAATTGGCCCCTCACTGCCATCTAACTGCAAAGGGGAAAGGAACTGGTGATGTTACTTCAACCCGAACCGTGACCCTGAACCAGTGTTAATCCAGGGTCTGTCTCTCTCTCTGTCTCTCTCTCCCCGTTCAATGTGTTAATGCAGGGTCAATCTCTCTCTAACCTGTCACTGTGTTAATCCAGGGTCAGTCTGATTCTAACCCCACACTGTGTTAATCCAGGGCCAGTCTCTCTCGAACCCCTTACAGTGTTAATGGAGGGTCAGGCTGTCTCTAATGCCTCACTGTATTAATCCAGGGTCAGTCTCTCTCTAACCCCTCGCTGTGTTAATCCAGGGTCAGTCTCTCTCTATACCCTCACTGTGTTAATGCAGGGTCAGTCCATGTCTTTCTATAGCCCCTCACTGTGTTAATGCAGGGTCAGTCTGTCTCTGGCTCTTTACCCCTCACTGTGTTTTTCTAGGGTCAGTCTCTCTCTAACCCTTTACTGTCTTAATCCAGGGTCAGTCTCTCTCTGGCTCTAACCCCTCACTGTGTTAATCCAGGGTCAGCCTCTGTCTAATCCCTCACGGTGTTAATCCAGGGTCAGTCTGTCTCTAACCTCTCACTGTGTTAATACAGGGTAAGTATCTCTCTCTCTAAGCCCTCACTTGATAATGCAAGGTCAGTCTCTCTCTAATGCCTCACTGTGTTAATGCAGGGTAAATCTGTCTCTAATCCCTCTCTGAGTTGATGCAGGATCAGTCTGTTTCTAACCCCTGACTGTTTTAATGCAGGGTCAGTCTCTCTCTGGCTCCAACCCCTCACTGTGTTAATCCTGGGTCAGTCTCTGTCTCTCTCTAACCTGTCAATGTTAATCCCGGGTTAGTTTCTGTCTGTCTCTAACCTGTCACTATGTTAATCCAGGGCCAGTCTCTCTCTGTCTCTAATCCCTCACTGTGTTAATGCAGGGTCAGCCTCTCTCTAACCCCTCACTCTCTTATTCCAGGTGGTGTCTTGTTGGACTCTAGCATGGTTCTGTCGGAGGGCAATGCTGAGAGGATTGTGAGAACTCTGTGTAAAGTGCGCGGGGCTGCTCTGAAACTGGGTCAGATGCTCAGTATTCAAGGTAAGGTCACACCTGCCTCCGAGGGGTCAGTTTGAGGGGGTGTCAGCTCCCTCACTTGTTGTACAACGACCGTCTCCCCAAATGCATTATCACAGCTGAATCCCACCCCCCACTATCACCATCCTGGGTGTTTACCATTGATCAAACAGTGAACACAGCGGCTACCAGAGCTGGGCAGAGGCTGGGAATCCTGCAGCGAGTAACTCCCCTCCTGACTCCCCCCCAAAGCCTGCCCCACCATCGACAAGGCACAAGTCAGGAGTGTGAGGGAATACCCCCCACTTGCCCCTGGATGGGGGCAGCCCCAACAACACTCAAGAAGCTCGACACCATCCAGGACAAAGCAGCCCCCGCTTTGATTGGCACCACATCCACAAACATCCCACTCCCTCCACCCACCGACGCTCAGTCGCAGCAGTGTGTACCATCTACAAGACGCCCTGCAGCAACTCACCGAGGCTCCTTAGACAGCACCTTCCAAACCCACCACCACTTCCATCTAGAAAAACAAGGGGCAGCAGGTACATGGGAACACCACCCCCTGCAAGTTCCCCTCCGAGCCACACCCCATCCCGACTGGGAAATATATCGGCCGTTCCTTCAGTGTCGCTGGGTCACAATCCTGGAATTCCCTCCCTAAGGGCATTGTGGGTCTACCCACAGCACACGGACTGCAGCGGTTCAAGAAGGCAGCTCACCCCCACCTTCTCAAGGGGCAATTAGGGACAGGGCAATACATACTGGGCCCAGTCAGAGATACCCATGTCCCGGTGAATGAAGAAGACATAAATCTGCCTGGTCAGCCATCAAATAAGAGGGGAATGGGGAAGTGTGGAGAGCTGGTCCAGGGGATGTCACATGTTTTGCGGGACAGAGGTGCTGGGTCCCAGCCTCTCTGAGGTGTCAGTCTGCCATGGGCCTCTCCTGGTCGACCCTAGCTGCCAAAGGTGCACGTGCTTGTGCATGTAACTCCCTCCCACGTGATACAGACAGGAGAATGGGCAGGGAATGGCCAGGGAGACTGCTAGGAGGAGCCCTGGAACTCAGCCTCATCAAACCCCGGCCACTTCTTACCTTCTGCTGGTTTAGATCTCGCGGCTGCAAGTGTTTAATGGTTTTTGGGAGTGAGCGTTTCTTGGCCTGTGTGTGACAGAGAAAATGATACACAGGTGACAGCCAGCAAGCCTTGCTCACACTCAGGGCGATGGGTGCTGAATTCTAACTTGTACCGTAGGCTCACTGCTCCTCAAAACCTGCTCAGGCCCAGGACCCAGAAATGCAAACCCCCATCAATACAGGTACTTCATGTGAAGGCTTCTCTCTCTTTCTCTCTCTCTCTGTCTCCAAACCTAGCAAAGGCTTCCCTCAGACTGGGCCCAGTGAAACTCATTCAAGGCCCAGTGGGAACCTGAATTGCTCCAGGCCCAGTGGAAGGCCCGACTGACTCCAGGCCCAGTGGAAGCCTGAGTTGCTCCAGGCCCAGTGGGGACCCGACCGGCTCCAGGCCCAGTGGAAGCCTGACCGGCTCCAGGCCCAGTGGGAACCTGAATTGCTCCAGGCCCAGTGGGGACCTGAATTGCTCCAGGCCCAGTGGGGCCTGACCGACTCCAGGCCTCTTTCTGGTTTTGTCAGACCTAGTTAAGTGACATGATGCCGTATTTTCTTGTATGTCCAACAGGAGTGATATATGTTGGGGTGGGGGCAAATGGCAGTGAGGTGGCAGAATGCAGTGACGTCTTTCTGTTTGTCTGTCTCTCTTTCTTGATCTCCCCCCACCCTCTCTCTCTCTCTCTCTCTCGTGCAGATGAAGCTTTCATTAATCCAGCCTTACAGAAGATATTCGAACGGGTACGACATGGGGCAGATTTTATGCCCAGCAGGCAGATGCTGGTAAGATCCGCTGCTGTACAGATTATCTTAAACCAGGGCTGTGCTGCAGTGAGGCTGTTCAGGCCCAGAGAGGCCTCCCAGTGAGGGCCGAGTGTTATCTCACTCGAGGCACATTCTGGGAGCAACACGTTCTCAGCAACTCAGAACAGGAGCAGATCGAGTCAAAACCTGCACTGAAACAACGCTGGGGACAGCGTAGAGGGAGCTTTACTCTGTATCTAACCCCGTGCTGTCCCTGTCCTGGGGAGTGTTTGATGGGGGGGCTGCTGTTGTGATCTGTAATGTATTGTCTCTCTCTCTCTCTATGCTCCGTCTGTAGAAAACACTGAAGAGTGAGCTGGGCTCGGACTGGCGAGCTAGGCTGGAGTACTTTGAGGAACAGCCGTTTGCCGCTGCCTCCATTGGGCAGGTTCACCTCGGGAGGCTGAAGGATGGTCGGGAGGTGGCCATGAAGATCCAGGTAAGGAGTCTCCGTCAGGGTCAGGTCCTGGGAACTGGCCTGATCTGAGTGCTTTCGCCTCTCGTGCACTGACTGCCAACTCCCCTGGTGGTATGTTCATCTCCAGCCCACTTCCCACCTGGAACTGCTGTGGGGTTATACAGAGACAGCCTGCCTCACCCTTATCCCCAACCCAGGCCGAGTTGTGAAAATGACAGGTTGTGAATGTTTCTGGGGTGCTGCGTTTGTGTGGCACCTCGCATCAATAATTCTGGCTTCGTTCGTGGTACTTGGTGAAGCCCAGTCAGTACCATCAGGACACTCTGTTCACTGCAGGCCTGGGCTCTGGGTGGTGTCCCCTGTCCTCTGTCTCTGTCTCTGATCCTGTCCACTGTCCCCTGTCCCCTGTCTCTGACCCTGTCTCTGTCTTTGTCCCCTG